CATTAAACTTTAATGCTTAAACGCATAAATTATTTCTAATTAATAACTATTTTCTCTTCCGTGGGCCAGGAAAGCTAATAATCCAATCAGTGGACCAAATTTGGTGATGTATCCTGGTCATATAACACCAGGAGCCATGTTACACATATGCTAAGTAGTAACATGAGCACAACTGGCAATGTCCCTTTCATTTGTGAAAAGGGCAGGTAAAGGTTTGCTTTGTTGTTTTAATTGTTTGGCAGCAGGGAGTGAGGGACTCAACAGAGAGCAAAATTGGGAAAAGAAGAACAAGTCAGCAGAGGTTTTAAACAGGCGCGAAGAAGGGTTAGTTTTTATTGTTTATCCAATTTATACAGAAAGGACTAACAATACTAACAAATAAGCAAAGTGTATTACATAACTTTTGGAGGATGTGGGGAGAAGAATTAACATTTATATATGTTTGCTAATTAAATGCCATGACTAGATGACTAGACATTTCTTTGTATTTTTCTACGAGCAACTGGAAGTGCTAAACTCTAGAGGTGAACTCAGTGAGGCCAGTAGTTCACTCTTGTGCCCCATATCAGACACAAGAAAGGACCAATCTGGAGGTCAATATTGCTATCACAAGCCATGAAAATATTAAGTGTATAGAAAAACAACAAATCCAGCTCCCACTGACATCAACGGGAGGTGGTACTGACTTCAACAATCATTGGATTAGCTCTTGTAAGAGCAGCAAGGCCTAGTGCAGTAAAGTAGGAACTTATTCAGTATCCCATTAGATTCAGAGGTACAGGGGGAGGAGGGAGAGATTACTTACAAGCAGAAATTGTAGTTCTTTGTGTGTGTTGTCCTCTGCATCTTAACAATCCCCACCTGCCCTCATATCTTTCTGGAAGTATGAAGGACTCAAATTTAGTATAAGGAATTGAGGCAATTGCGGCCACATATCCCTTTTAATAAATCTGCCTACTGGATGTTTGTTATTACAAGTGCGGAGGGTCAAAGCGCATTCATTGTCCATTGCATGGGTTCAGAATTTTCTGAAATGCTTTGACACCATGAAAAGAGGGGCATCCCAAAGGCAGGAATACAAAGAAGCCACTTTGAAATATTAATCCCACTTGAAACATAGGAAAACAGCAGAAAAAATGAAATAAATTCAACAAATGAAACATCAATAACTTGTCCAAAATGTTTGTGGTAGACTGTGAATTTAAACCCAGATCTCCTGATTCCCAGGCTTGTGCTTCAGCCACATGACCATTCCTCCTCCTCTAACTGAACAGCAAGTGATATGGAAACCCAGCAGTAACAGGATTAATAACCACAGAGACCATTATTTAAAATAAAGCTAATATTTCCGTAAAGGGGACAATTCAACAAAATCTCCTTTCAGCATCTACGTCATAATATGATGGTACAACTTCAAAAGTACACTTGTTGGGCGAGGGGAACTGAGATTCCTAAACTGCCCCTCTTCAGCCTGGAAAACAAACAATTTATATTCAATTTAACCCTAAATAGAGCGTGTTCATGCTGCAAATCTGCCTATTGTGTACTCAGCTTGTTTCTGTGGAGTACCTAGCACACTGGTGAGCACTCATAAATAATAAATCATAGCCCTTTTTCACTTTCTACCATCCAGTTGTAGCTACCATTCATACTGCATATTGATCAAAATAGTACAGGAATCCCTACCTCTTCCCCCCCCCCCTCCTGCCCCAAATTATTAAAACACCAGACACACATGCTATTTGTAACACTCTTTTGGAATCTTACCTCTCACAGACTGGTTCCAAGGCACTGGGATTGTCCGCTCCCATTACTTGCTTCATTTCCTCCCTCTCTCATATTGTTCACCCTATAACATTAACAAGATTCTCCTGCCCAATTCTACTGGATTTCCCCCACTTCAGAAGGCTAAGAAAGACTGAAAGCGAGCAGTCTGTCTTAAATCTCATTTCTTTTGGGCTTCCCATTTAGATGTGCTCCCGAGTACACTATGTGTGAAATATTCTCCAGAAATAAGTAATATTCATTGGAACTGAGAAGAAATTTCTTGGTCACAGAAAGGATAAGACTGAGTGACTTAACTTTTTATGTGTGGCTTTTACTCTGAACAGTATTGGCAAGAATTGCTGTTGAAATTGGGTTATAAGGAAAGAAAAAGGTGCCGGGCCAAACCCAATCCAGCCCATCTTGCCAAGGAACTTAACATCCCTGGGGACCATGAACCAACTAAAACTGACTGATCCTAATTAACTAAACAACAGTTTCTAATACATGCTGAATACGTTGCTCATCATAAAGTCCAAACTACCAAGGTTCATCCAAATTCCTGAACACACACATGCATTGCATCTAATATAAACAGGACATTGATATAGTACACTAATATTCATTACTGGCATCCTGCAAGTAGTGATGGGGACAATTTGGGTTCTTAAGAAAAAATAAAGTATGTTCTTATCATAGGTTTATTTCAAGGACTGTTTCTCATTAAATACAATTTATACATTTTTGCACTATATAACAATGGAATATCTTCCAAATTATTCCTACATAAAATATATTACTGGTTCAAATGTTAACCTCACAATAGCTTCTCCAAGTTACATTTTGTTGAGCGTCAGTTTAGATCACAGGAAAAAAAGACAAAATGCCTTGGTAAAATACCTTACAGCTGTAATGTCTTTAAAACAATTTCGAATACAGAAATTCTAATCCAATTTTACTTCAACATCAATTAAAAAGATAGGAGGGCATATATATACACAGTAACATTGCTTTATGGGAATATAATTCATAAGTATACATACTTAATTTTTCAAAGTGTGTGGTCCAATGTTTGAATCTTGGCCAATCAAACAAAATGCCTGCTGCTTTTCAACACACAATGGCATAGCAAGCTTTCAAAACCTCTAACTGCACTACAGTGATGGTCACTGTTCAAACAAAGTTCCTGGCAACTTCTAGGCCTGTGTAAGGGAAGAAAGGCTTCCAACAGTATCAATACAAAGAAAAATATCTTCACTGAATTGCACACATTGAGCTTCTAGGAGGGTTAACAGTTCTTGCCACAGGCTCTTGACTGTAGTTTACAATATCTGCCTTCACCACCCTCTGTCATAAAAAGAAAACACAACAGTTATCAATATATCAGAAGCAGATATTGTTCAAAGTACGTTAAAAACTTTTAACGTGGCAATTATTTTAATGAACCTAGGAACATAAATGTTTCGGCTAATAAACAATCAGTCTGAGTAGACATATACTGTAGTACTCTTTTCCTCGAAATGAAGCAGAAAGACTTGCCTAGGTATGCATTCTCATTCTAGATATTGATTTCTTGATACTAGATAGAAAAAGAGTGCATTTGTTGCTAAATTTTCATGACAATTGTGTAAGGCTGATATTTGTATTAACATAACTCTTTACAATCAGTAAACGGTATTTTTTTTCATGAGTTTTTTTGTTTTAAGTGTTGGTAGTGGATAATAATAAACAGTTTGTGTTTAATAAGAGCACTGTATGTGGAATTTTTGAATAACACTCTATTGGTTGAACTGGAAATTATTTAGTATTTATTGTTCGTATGAAATGGAAATTTTTCACTCTTGGGGTACGTCTAGATTACATGCCTCTGCCAACAGAGGCATGTAAAATAGGCTACCCAACATAGTCAATGAAGCGGGAATTTAAATATCCCCAGCTTCATTAAAATAAAAATGGCCGCTACGCTGTGCCAGCTCAGCTGATTGTTGGCACAGCGCGCAAGTCAAGACATGGATCGGTCGACAAGGGAAGCCTTTGTCGACCGCTCCTGTAAACCTCATTTCATGAGGCATAAGGCAGCGGTCGACAAAGGTTTCCCTTGTTGACCGATCCACATCGACTCACATGATGTACTGACGATCAGTTGAGCTAGCACAGCATGGTGGCCATTTTTATTTTAATGAAGCTGGGGATATTTAAATTCCCGCTTCATTGACTATGTTGGGTAGCCTATTTTACATGCCTCTGTCGGCAGAGGCATGTAATCTAGACATACCCTCATTGCCCTCATAGGAAATTTAAAACCAAAACAAAATTGAGTTTAACAAAATGACCTTTCAGCAAAGCTGTAACAGGCAGAAAAATTAAAGAGCAAAACAAATACAAAGTCTAGATATCTTCCATATTATGTACTCTACATATCTATTTGTGAATCTATTCATTAAGAACTTAATAAACTTTTGATGGGAGTACTTTGGTGTGTTCTGTATACTGTGTGAGCCTTCCACTTTACAAAAGAATTTCTATAGGGATCTCATTCTGTATTGTTGCAGAAAAGATTTAAAACACATGAGTATTTTATCGAAGACCAGATCTCTACAAAATTAGTTTCAGTTTGTTATCAATGTGTTTGCTATTAGTAATGACTTCTACCAAATAACTAATAAGCTACCTAAAACTTTAACTTTTGAACATCATCCTATTTTAACTGGCCCATAAGCTACACTTTTGTATATTACTATTTGTGACATATAGCCCGTTAGAACATAAACATGAAATGAGCTTACCCAGTTTTCAAATCTGGACAACAAATCTAGAGGATGCAATTCCACATGCAGTGCTCAAATAAGGAATAAGGTGTCCATGTTGAACTAGTATTTGTCAGTTTGACTGCTCAGCTTTGAAAATTGCCACCAAAATATTAATAGATGATATTACTACAAAGCTGCTTGGAATGAATCAGTATTTGAAATTTGATTTAATCTGGGTACATGTTGTAAAAATATGTACAACACATTTACTTTTAGTAGATACATACAGTACAAAATATTTCAGAGTGTCATTCATTGTCATACTTACTACTTCATAGAAAAGCAAAGTAATAAAAAACATTAATTTTTACCATGATACCTTAACTATTGCACTGAACAGACTTTACTCTGACAGTTGGCAGTGCTGGAGTGTTGGTTATCTTCTTCAGGATACTTCACTAGTTCTGCCCTGACAACATGCTGTCAACCACATGTCAATATAATGGACAAATAGCAAGGAGGAGAATGAAAAACAAAAAGAAGACAATGGAGAGACAGATCAATAGCTGAAAAGAAGGAATGAATAACACAAATGTCAGTGCAAAAGTTAAGCCAATTAACCAAAACAAAAATGCTGTGCTGAATAAGAGACAGAGATATACCTAGCAGAAAGTTTTATAGCTGGAGTTGGAGTAAGTCTTCAAATTCATCACCAGTCATGCTCTCCCCCCACAAACAATACAAAATAATCAGGTTAAGCACCCAATAAAAATGTTTTACAGCTGAGACACAAAAAAGGATTGAAAAAGGGGGTGAGGGGAGAAAGAGGACAGATATTGTTTTTGCCTCTAAATAATGTAAATGCTACATAAATCCACTTCTATTCACAATTGTAACAATTGAATTAAAAATATGCATGCAAAATTCCCACTACAAAAATGTAGTACAATTAAAAACATTTCCAAAATGACAAAGTGAAAGCTTACGCTTTCAGTTAGAACATGTTTTACTTGTCAACTGTTCTTCACCTGCAAGTTTTCCTGAAGCAATTTGCAAAAGGAAAAGTAGAGGATGTGCTTATCTGCATTTTATGGTTGAACTCCAATGACTCTAAATGAAAATTTCACTCAGGCTTAATAAAAGAATTCCTTCAATGTTCTTTGTCAAATATTTGCCTATAGTAAAAACAATCAATCCTCTGCCAAAACATGTTACCCTTTACAAAAATGTTAATTAAAAAGTCTTCAGAATAAAAAAATATATTTATGCTAACAGGAGAAAAATACAAATATACAAATAAAACAGTAATGCAAAATGGCAGGGGAAACCTACAGATAGTTATTATTTGGACTGAGACTACTGGACTATCTCTGTCCTAATATTTTAGTTCTGACATAATTAAAATATATGTTTGTTACAAACAAGGCAAAAATGGAGGAACATGGTTTTATATTTTTTAAGGAAACATCATTTAATATGGACATGAATATATAAACATTGTTGAAGATAACCTCTGTAAATAAAGAAAATATGTAAAACAAGCAATAGTAATTGAACTAGGTGGTTGAGGGTCTAGATTTATTAGCTGCTGAAGTACTCTGCTTAAGTTTTAATTGATCAACTTCATATCTTATCTAGTGGACAAGAGTCATGATTCACTACACTTCTGGCCTGATGTTATCAATGAAAGGGTTGTCAAATCCCATGCAAGGCGCTAGCAGGGATTCAGCATTAAACAGTGTTATCTGACCTCAGAGGACCCAATTTCATACCAAGCCCTCTGCTAGACTGAAGAAAAAGGATCCTTACAATCAGTACGCAATTAATTGCTCCCCCAAATGTTGGTTTAAATCCCATCATGTAAACATAGCTAGGTTAGTGATCTATGTTTAAGTCACTTTGTGGCAAGAGACTGACTAACATAAATGACTTGGATTTTCTAAAGACATTTCAGCTAAATAAGTGAAGAAACAGCATGCACAATTTTTTCCCACTAGCTACACACATACTCTCTCTCATCTCTATATAAGATTGGAAGTATTAGCCAAGGCTCCAATTTCTATCAAAAATCAGATCCGTATGTTTATTTGCTGCAGGTGTGCAGAATTCCAGATCTTGCTTTAATGCCAAACACTTTACTGTAGCAGGCTGCCACTCTAATACTACTATGCTGAATTGGCATTTGGTTAAAGAAAAAAACATGTATCACTTAGAAAAATGTTAATTCTTGCCAGTGCACAAAAACAAAGTTGTACCTCATGCAGTTTCTATGCTGGAAGTAAAAAATATTGAAAGAAAAACATTTAATTAGTAAAAAAGCCATTTCCTTAAGTTTCAAAAGCCCCTTGTGTTTTAAGAGTACGGAATTTGAGGGCTGAAAATAAGATGTAATGTGTAAATTCTTTGTTTTGGGGCTCTTTCGCCTTGAAAACGTGCTCAAGTTTCAGGCAGGCTTATGTAGATAGCTGTCTACTTTTGTTTTATCTGGTGTTTGACTTGAGGTTTGATTAGGAGGCACCATGTTCTAAAAGACTGCACTTGTACCTAATAAAGTCAACAACAAGAAAGTTGCTGTTGATTTTAACGGGACCAAGAGCTCCTTCCATCATGGCACAAGGTTTTATATGGCTAATCTTTGAACATTTGAGTGTGAAGGCCTGCAAAATCATGATATTAACTTAGAAACTATTTTCCCAAAAATAAATAAGTAAGTTTAAAGTTGCTTTTATTTACCTAGTGGATGCACTTGAGTCACATTTTCAGGTTTTTCTCCATAAGAATAATAAACTTTTTAAATGGAAGCTGAGATTGTCATGCATAAAATCATGGAAGTCCACAATGTTATTTCTGTAAAGTGCCAGAGTGTTAAGAAATCAGACGGCTTTTCAGATCTCATGATTCTGTTCTGGTTTGTGTTTCTCAGACATATAGATTTTTCAATTTTGGTGGTTATGTGAATTCAATGTTGGGCTCAATATACACATGCAGTTACATCAAAGACTGGAGCTATAACTTTAAAAAAATCTTTATTTCTATGAGAGTTAGAAAGATAAAACAGCAGTTCCACTCTCGTGCTCTTTTCACTATGTACCTAAGCAGATATTCTACTCACTGGACTAATTCCAAAGGCATCAGTTCAGTATTTAAACAATGAACATTTTTATAAATAGAACCCAGTTCTGATCTTTGTTTAAAAATACAAATAGCGTCTGGTTGCTATAAGTGCAACCTAACTTTGGCCTGATGCTACTTGAATCTGGGTGATTCAGAAACTTGAAAGAATGTATTCTCACAACCCTCTTGTGAAATAGGGAAGTTTCATACTCACATTACAGGTGGAGATAGGAAATACAGGAGAGTAAGGGACTTGCCCAGGGTCACACAGGTAATCCTTGGCAGACCATGAAAGAGAACTACAGCTCCTCCTGACTCCCCATCCAGTGATGCAATATCAAGATGATCCTTCCTCCCTGGCAAGAACACAGTTCCATGCTTCTAAAAATTATGAAGCCATATGCTACTCCATGGCTACGTCTACACTGCGGAGCTACTTTGGGATACTGGAAGTATCCCAAAATAGCGATTCCACATCTTTAAAGTGGTCCGTTATTTCTAAATAGATTTTGAAATAATGGGTGTGCTATTTCAGCATCTCTGTAGCCCTTGTTCCATGAGAGTTAAGGGATGTTTCAAATAACCTATTTTGAAATTACCTGGAAATAAGTTACACAATTTGTGTAGCACAAATTGCATAGCTTATTTCGAGGTAAGGGTGCAGTTAGATGTAGTCCATGAGAGTTTTTCAATGTAAGAACTAGAAAAATCTACGGTTTTCCTGCTATGAAATTTCCTTCCAATTGTTTTTCAGACACAAGGTTGAGGCTTCTCCTTTCCTCACTCCAACGCTGTGGTCAAAGTATTCTGTCTCCTAGACTTACAGATTTCAAGATATGAGACGGAGGCATTAGCCCAAGGGTGGGCAAATTCTGGTCCACAAGGTTAGTCCCTGACCACCCCCACCTCTATATTTACCAGCGCTTCCTCAGATATCAGGAGATAGGTAAAGGTTAATAACTTGGGTGCCACAGTGGCACATCCAAATAAGCCACATAAACTCAGTACTGGTGCACAACACAAAATTCATTCTGCTCTTGGGAGGAAACTCTTAGGCTATGTCTACACTGGCAGCTTCTTTTTTGCGCAAGGGTTCTTGTGCAAGAACACGTCCACATTGCCATATGCGAGCTGTGCTTTTGCACAAGAGCATCCATGGCAGTGTGGACGCTCTTGCACAAGAAAGCTCTGATGGCCATTTTAGCCATAGGGGTTTCTTGCGCAAGAAATCCCTGCCGAGCATCCACACGGCCCTCGTGCACAAGAGAGCTTACACCTGTTAAAAAAGAACATAGCTCTTGTGCAAGATGCCCTCTCTTACCACACCGTACTGTAAATACTCTTGCGCAAGAGCAGGCGGGCAGTGTGGATACTCTGTGGGCTCTTGTGCAAGAACGGCTGTACTTGCGCAAGAAGCCGCGAGTGTAGACATAGCCTTAGAGGAAACACCTCCCCCAGCCTCTCTGCCCCCGAGTTAATGTCACACACATTGGGTTAATGCAATTGCAGGATAGTTGCAAGAGCGGGGGTTGGTGAGGGCCAAACTCATCCCTGTTGGTAGGAGGATGGTGGGAAAAGTCCTTCAAGAGGGGTGACATGACACCTTTTACTTCTGATCATGTGTCCATCTTTCCCTGAGCATGTTACCTCCAGAGGCTTGGCTTATGTGGGTCAGGGAGTGTGGCTAATGGGGCACCATCAAAAATTATACAAACCTGCCACCTTTGCCCGGAAGTATGCCGGAGGAGGTGTGAGTTGAGCCCAGGGTTTCCCTGCACTGCAGGGGGCGGGTATGGGGGGGTGTTAGCTACCTCCAGGGCTAGGCAGGGGAGGTAGCTGGGGATCAATCAGAATTGCTGTGGGGCCCCGTCGAAATTGTTCGAACTGGGCCCTGCACTTCCTAAAGCTGGCCCTGGGAGGCAGGTATTTGAGTTGTGACCAAGGGCAGGAGGGGGTTATGACCTGTGACAAGGGATTTGAATGCAGTGCTGGGAAGGGTTAGGGATGCAGAAGGGAGGCAGAGAGATTGTATTATGTGGGGTAGAGGGGCAGGAGAGGGGGCAGAGGTTTCGGGAGAGGGAGGGGCTAGGTGCCAGAGGCAGGCTCTGATCAGAATACTTATCTGGGCAACTCACAGCCAGCAGCCCAGCAGGTTACCTGCCTTCCATGCCGCGGCAGGCAGCTCAGAACAGCCAGATGCAGGGTCATGTGCATCTGTAAACAGCTGCGAACATCTTCAAATAGGCATCTCCCTATGGCCGGATTTGCAGCTGTTTACAAACAAACGGGGCCCTGCAGCCTGCAGATCTGAGCAACATGTAGGGGTGGGGCACTGCAGGGAGCCTGACTGAAGCTGTCGCTGTGTCCATAAGCCAGTAGAGATGTGAATGACTAGTCAACTATCCCTGTTTTGCTGCCTGTATCAGAAGAGGAGGGGGGGCTTCAAAGCAGCAGCGTTGCATGGAGCCCAGGCTCCATGCAGCACTGCCGCTTTGAACCGCCGCAGTAGCAGGGAGCCAGTGGGGGACTGTTTGAGTCCCCCCGCTCCCATCCCCCAGCCCCATGCTCCATGCAGTGCTTTCACCTTTGAAGCATAGCAACAGACCTGGGGCTGTTGCTACACTTCAAAGGCGGAGGTGCCCTTAACTATTTGATTAGTTAATTAATGAAAATTTAACATCCATACAGGCCAGATCCACTGGTTTGGTGTGCCAGATCTGGCCCGCGAGTCGTATTTTGTCCAGCCTTGATTTACACACAAATCATTATGCAATTGTGAAAAGCACATAGCAAACACCTCTCTTTCTCTCATATATAAAGGCAAAAAAAATTGCTAAATTTGTGTAGCATACGAAAGTTTTTCATAGCCATTCTGCTTGGCTTGTTAAAGTGTGTACTGCACAATGTATTTTCCACTTCTATTGTTAAAAAAGCTAGCTATATATTTCAACACAAATTGTAAATATTGCATTGGGAAAGACTTATTTTCTTATTATAAGATTAGAAAATAGATTTATTATATATTTAGGAAACTGAAGAGCAGACTGTCCATAAAAGTGTAAAAATTTTTACAAACATATTTAACTGATTTTTATTTTTTAATAATTACTAAGTCAACAGTGGCCAACAATGCCACCCCTTGAACTGTTAGAAGAGAATCCTTTGCATAGAATAAGTACATTAAAAATATATGTATTATAAAATTATAAAATCACGATACAATACAAGTTAGACTCTGTATTTTAATCCTTATTTTCTAGTGTTTCTGAAAGGGTGTGTACAAAATCCTTATGGGCTCAATGTTTGTGCACACAGTCAAGTGGAAAGGGAAATTACTTTTTTTTAACTGAATTTAGAAAAAATAGGAATGTTTTTAATGAGAGTATTGACAGTCTTTCAAGTTTTTATCCTAAAGAGTTTGTATTCATTAATGTGAACTAACTACTTTTCCTATTCTGGGGACGAAAATATGAAGACGAAATTTATTTTTTCTCAATTAGTTCTATTTTGCATGTGTCAAACACTGAATGACACAAAATGTTCATCTTATTGTTTAAATACAGTCATAGTCCAAAGAGGAATACAGCAGGTCAACTATGTACTTATACAGAAGTCACCATAGTCACATCCCTAACAAAGGCTTCCTTAGGAG